CGAGCAGGCAGACGGTGCTGGGAGCTCGCGGTCGTCGACTGGGCATCGCAGCTGGGACCTAGGACTGGGCTTGGCTGGGCGTGGTCGCGGGCGGTTGCTAGCGGTAGCGATCGGCTGGGCCTGGCTGGCTTCCGGCGGCGGCGGGATTTTCCGGTGGCGGATCACGGCGGCGATGGGCGGTGATGATGTGATGATGATGACCGAAAAATATATATATTAGAAAGCTCAATCAATTGTACCAAAAGGACTTCTAATGGATTACCTAAACACCTATTCCGATTAAACTTGGTGGAGCGTTTAATCGAATCTCCTTAACTCTCAAATGATGTAATTCTCACGTGTATGTAGATGAGAAATTCGGCCAAGAAAACATTCTGTAGGAGAGGTTGGGACATGGTGTATTTATAGGCTCCATTAGGGACCTTAAGGAGGTGCTAAATATGGGCTTATTCCATTAGGCCTAGGACTCCTAATTCTAATCCAATACTAACTCAATCTAGGAAGGAGATCTCCTACTAATCCATCTCTTCTAGAAGACTCCTAAGTCTCCTAACACTAGAGAAGATCCTTGTAGGAATTTCCTTTCCTAATTAAATTAATAATCATGGAATAGAATTAAATCCTAATTTAGGAAACCTAATTTTACTCCAATTAATAATATAATGTAGGAAATATATTTCCCACTAATCTTCATCTTCTAGAAGACTATCAAGTCTCCTAATCCCAAGAGAAGATTCTAGTAGGAATTTTATTCTCCCGATTAATTAATTAATATGGAATAAAATTAATTCCTATTTAATGGAATTAAATAATAAAACTTCCCACTAGAGTAATATTATTGCTCTCCCCATTTAGCCACTATTTTACCAATAAAATCGAGCCTCCATGATTAAATAATATTAATCTGATTGATCGATTTACCTCCCTATGTTTAAGATATAACGTTCGTTGATTAATTATATTACTGACAAAGTAATTAATCAACTTCTTATTCATTTCCGAATTTAGCACCACTCAGCCTTTAACCATTATGTCAGACAATCGTCTACCTGCAGGGTTTAACATAATGTTCCTTTCTGAGCTCATTTCGGGGACGTCATAAATCCAGCGCACTGGAACATAGTGACTGTAAATAATCTATAATAGCACATCATATAATTATTCTTACTTACCAAAATACCTCGTATGTCATCCTAACAGAATAGGAATCACTTGGTAAATCAAATAAATAAGAAATAAAAATATATGCCTATTTTATATTATTTTACAGCTTAAGAGAAAGCATCAATCACCGATGGTCTAGGTTACGACAACGGTCAGTGAGTCTCATATCCTTA